AGCATGCCCTGTTGGGTATGATTCTGTTCCAGATGAATAGTAGCATAGTGGCTTGAAGCAAGGGTTGAGTGTGAGGCTGGCTCATTGCTGCCATTCATCCTCTAAGAGCATAACCTCTCTTGTCCCTCTGTCACACAGACACACCAGTGAAGTCTCTAACAGTTTCCTGGCCTTTTCATCAAAGCAGTCCCCTATTTCCCTCCTCTCTCTCTCATTATACGTCTACATCATGGTGCTCTCCAGGGCATGTTTCCCACCGTGGATGGTTCCACTTGTCAAAATGGCACGTTTGTACTTTCCTTTGATGGGACCCCAGAGTGCTCTCCTAGTCCCCCTATCCTGTAGGAGAGCAAGCAACTAACATGACACCTTTTGGGCAGCTTGTTTCAATCTTACCTCTCACTACTTAGCCTCTTTCCATTGACTCAACTCATGTTAATTGACAGGTAGGACAGAGAGGAATTACTTATTCCACCACCACCACCTCCTCGCCCCACCCCACCCTTGGGCAAGAGCATTAACTGCTGGCTGTCAGGAAGCTTCTTCATACCCCTGAATCCAAAGGGGTTCTTGCCCTTTTTTTTCCCCTGAAAAAAAGTCATTATCTATCTCAACCCCATGCTCGCCATGATAATTTTGTCCGGGAAGAATCCCTGACAAATCCCTAACAATTTCCATTAGTGCTGAGAGTAGACAAGATTCAGTGGATCAGAGCAAGCCAGTTTATTGCTCACAGCACAGCTAAGAGCAGGGGCCTGAACATGGTAGCGCCGGTTCCCTTGTCCCCGGGTCCAGCAGTGAGTCAGTGAACCTAGATGACAGCTATGCACAAAGTGGGTTTGTGACATAGCTGAAGAACCCAGAGCTAAATAAAGCTCAGCAAACAAAAGCCAGTTCCCCTCCCCTGGGGAGCAAACAGTAGCGTGGTAGTTTGTTTGCACTCATTTTGACCTCAATTGCCTGTGACTAGCTATAAAAATGACTCAGGGTCAAAGGACAAGTCAGTCTTGCAGTTTGACACAGCAAAAATGTGCAGGGATGTTCAGAGTCCATGGGAGAATGCCTCTTCTAACATGTACAGATTAGTGGGTACTAAGTGCTTAGCACATTGAAAAACAAAGACATAAGTCTTCATGAAATTGAATAGCATGAATAAAGAGACAATCCTAAAAGTTTGCAGAAAGAAAGCAAGTCATAGGCAAGGCACATGAAAAGAAAGACATGAGACTTCTTATAGCAACACTATTTGCTAGGGGATAGTTGAGAAATGTCCAGGTTTGAGGGAAAAGTATTTTCAGCCTAGCAATCTATACCCAGCCAAACTAAGCATGAGGTTAGAATAAAAGCATTTTCAGATACACAAATTCAAAAAACAAGTTATCTTCTACATGACATTTCTAAGTTACTTCAGCAAAACAAAAAAAAGGAAGTGTTATGGGTTGAATTGTGACCTCCAAAAATATATGTTGAAGCCTTGATCCCTGGTACCTGTGAATGTGATGTTATTTGGAAAGTCTTTGCAAATGTAGTAATCAAATTAAGGTCATTAGAATGGGCCCTCATCCAATGACTGATACCTTTTTAAGGGAAGAAATACAGAGAATGCCATGTGACAATGGAAACAGAGATTGGAGGGATGCATCTGACTCTGTCATCACATAGCTGCTCTGTTCTCTAAGACACCACTCAGATGGGATTTAGGACACAGTCTTCTCCGGTATGACCTCATGTTAACCCCAACTGGTAATATCTCAAAGACCCTATTTCCAAACAGTCATGTTCACAGGTACAGGGATTAGGACTCCAACATATTTTTTGGGGACACAATTCAATCCATAAAAATAGCAATTTTTTAAAATAAGTAATTTTTAACTCCAAGGAAAATTAAAAATTGTGCTATATATAATCATAGTATACTATTTGGAAACAGAGAAAAGATTTCAGTTTACTTGGAACCGCCATCAACATCCATAGAAGCAGCAGTCAAGAAATCAAACGACACATTGCATTGGGCAAATCTGCTGCAAAAGGCCTCTTTAAAAATTGTTAAAAAGCAAAGATGTCACCGTAAGGACTAAGGTGCGCCTGACCCAAGTCATGGTATTTCAATCGACTCATATGCATGCAAAAGCTGGACAATGAATAGGGAAGACCAAAGAATTGACACCTTTGAGTTACAGTGTTGGCAAAGAATGTTGAGTGTACCATGGACTGCCAGAACAGATCTGTCTTGGAAGAAGTACAGCCACAATGCTCCTTAGAAGTGAGAATGTCGAGACTACATCTCACATACTTTGGAGATGTTATCAGGAGGGACCAGTCCCTGGAGGACATCATGCTTGGGAGAGGGGCAGTGAAAAAGAGGAAGACCCTCAATGAGATGGATCGACACAGTGGCTCCAACAATGGGCTCAGGCATAACAATGATCATGAGAATGGCACAGGACCAGGCAGTGTTTCGTTCTGTTGTACATAGGGTCGCTATGAGTCAGAGCCTACTCGACGGCACCTAATAACGCTATTTGGTGCTGCACCACCACCACTATTTGGTGCTGTAATGAACAGATGTTTACATGGTCATAATAATGTAGACACTGACCTACTTAACTGACAAATGGGGGATGACTATGTTGGGAAGATGAAAGGGGAAAGTCTGTATATGGGTAGGGGGTGAGGAAAGGAGGGAAGAGCTTCTGAGAGTTTATTCTTCAACTGCCATAGCAGAAGTCAATAATATCTTATATGGTGAAACCAAGACTTAGAGGTATAAGCAAATTAAATAAAAATGTGGAGGTAAAGACCAGAGAACATAGCTAGGAGTTGAAAGTGGCTGCCTCTGAGCAGGGTTTTTTTCGCCCATACAAACCTTTGGAATTAAGTGCATGTACTTCCAGCTTTGATATTTAAAAAGAAAAAAAAAAAAAAGAAAAAAAAATCAACAAAAAGCAAATGTTAATGCTAAGGTAAAGATCAGAGACAGCAAATATCTCAGGGACATAAAGGACAAATTCGTTTTTAATCAATATTTATTGAGTGCCTACCATGTGTCAAGTGCACTTTACTAGATGCAAGGGATAATAACAGTAAATAAGGTGCAGTCCGTGCCCTCAAGGAGCTTACATTTCCACAGTTTAAAGTGCATCTCAGGTGTTCAGACGACAAAATTCCACCAGTTTCACATTTTTTTATTACAGCCAGTGTGATCATATGACACAGCACAACTACCAACCAGAATTATAAAATAGAATTTTAGAGCTCAAAGAAACATGTGGTATCATTTGTCTAGCCTCTTGTTTTATAGAAAAGAAACTGGAGTGGCAGTTCGCACCCAGAACTTATGTGTTCCGTTTTCAAATTTGCTGCTTTACTCATCATCTTCTCACAAAACTATTCAGTAGACATTTTGTAAAGATCGATATTGAATCCTGTAACATACCTGTGCAGTTGTTTCCCGCTAGAGAAGCTGCCTTATAATTTATTCTGCCTAATAAATTTATTAAAAATAATGTACACCCTATTTAGGCCATAACCAGAGGAATCCAAGAAGTGCTGCCCTTTCATCAGTGTCATGCCCTCAATGTTCAAGGCAACAAGGTTTAGGTACGAGCCAGCATCTGCCTGCCAGTGTTCCTAAACCGCTGGGGAGAATTTAGCCACTTAGGTTACAAGCCCTGCACCTAAGTGTGTCCATGAGCTTGTTTTCTTGTATGCCATTGGCTGCATCCTTAATCCCAGCCATTTCCCAGTCGTGTGCCACTGATTAGAATGGAAACCAAGTAAAATTACAGGTACCATTTTCCTAGCTGATAAATACATACCCAGCTACTTCAGCCATGAACATATTTGGAGGACCCATAATGTACCAGTTACCATACTAAAAAAAAAAAAAAACTACTAGCGATATAAATATGAAAAAGGCAGTCTTTCCCCATCAGGAGTGACTTGGAGACTATCAGTGTGCTATTGTCCAGTTGATATTAGGTGCATTGGGAATAGCTGCTTGTGCTTGGAGGAAGGTGTCCCAAAAAGATTTCAAAGAGACCAAATTAGAAATGGGCCTTGGGGAATAAGTAAGAAGAGTTAAGATCCCCCAGGCAGCAAGAAAGTGGCATTCATTTGAGCTGAGGCCAATCTAGTGAGCTACCGAGTCCAACATCAGAAAGGACAGTGGCGCGGACAGGAAATGAAGAACTAGTGTCCTGATACCTGAAGGGCACTATGCTATTAGCTCTCTTTACCAGCACCAAATTTTTAAATGTTGACTGCCCAACTTATTTAAATAATAATATTCCCCTTAATTTCAGTAATTACTAATGACTATATTCATTCCAACGGGTTTGATTTTTTGGCTTCTATTCACTTCATACCACTTCGGAGCCCTGGTGGCACAGTTGTTAAGCACTCAGCTGCTAACCAAAAGGTCAGCGGCTCAAACCCACCAGCTGCTCTGTGGGAAAAGGATGTGGCAGTCTGCTTCTCTAAAGACTACAGCCTTGGAAACCCTATAGGGCAGTTCTACTCTGCCTTATGAGTTGGAATTGACTTGATGGCAACAGGTTTGGTTTGGTTTTCTGTATTCACTTCTGCCACATTGTAGCTAATTCTGTGGTGGACTGGGTGGTTTGAAAAGTTCCTTTTTTACAAGGATTCAGTTTGTTTTTTAACACTATCTTCTGACAGCCTAACACTAAGCCTGATTTTTCAAACCAGGAATACTTAGTTTATCCTAGAACCAGTAAGATTTTGACTTTTTGTTAATATACACATCCAATTACAGGGTAGATAAAAGGAATACAATGCATCTTAAGGTAGGTCTTTTTTGCTTTAATGTGATTTTTTAAAAATATGTTGTGAATTCCATCAAATACAGCCTCATAGAGTTGCTTTCACTACCTCTGCCATTGATCACCTCTACTAAATAGAGGTTATCTTGAATGTACTGTGACTACTTCAATTAGCATAATTACAATTATGAGTTGTCTTGGTCACCAATCTTGGCATTTTCAGGAATATATGATACAGCACATGGGACAAGCTCCTGATCCAGAAATCCTGCTTTGAGCTGTCCGCTTCACTAGCATGTGACCTTGTGCAAGCCTAGCTATCAAAGCCTTTGGTCTACATCCATAAAATGAAGAAATACAAACTCTCCTACCTATCTCACAGGGTTCCTGTACAGATCATCTAGGTCAATATACATAAAAAAAGTTCTGAAAACTATTATAAAGTAACGTAAAATGACCATTACAGAGAAGTTAGCACAGTTAACCACTAAAATAATAATTTCAAATTCATGCCTATAACCAAAAACTTTTAAACTGAACAACTTAGTATAGTCAGTAAAGCAAATGAAGGCTGTATTACACAAACAGTATGTTCCTAGCGTACTCTATTGAGTCTAATCTTTGGGAAGACTAAATTTATTTTAGGGAAAAAAAAATCTGAATTAAGATATTTATTAGTGTTTACACATACAAGCTTCAACCACTAATTCAAAAATAATAGTTTTTCCAGCAAGAATGCATTCTTCAATAGGACTATATTTAAATCAGAATTCCATACAATAGAATATGTGTCTTAACACAAGAAAGGAAGAAATATTTTACATTATACAGAGGAGACATTCAGTTGGTTCAATCAAGATGAGTTATCCCTTCAACCAATACTCATTTTGCATATTTATTACAAACGTTGCAGTCAGTCCAGTATATGCCAACAATCATGTGGTTTTAACATTTAGTAGTGTGACGCACACTTGACTGTTTCCAAAGGGATTTGTGATGTAACTTCGTTTCGGAGGAGCAGAAGTAGTCCAATTACTGTCTGCTCTTTAATGTTTCAACTAACCTGTGAAGAGAAAATGAACAGTTTGATAAGATCAACTTCAAATAGTTAACTTTTTAAGTATAGAGGATGATCATTTATAATATAAATTTTATACTGGGGGTAAAATTCCAAAGCATTTAAAATGATAAAGGGTAACAAGATTAGAGTAAGTTTATGGACTCAGTTTCCATGAGGGTATTTTAGCTGTCTTAGCTGACTATTTAGCTGAGGGTATTTAGGTTCCCTGGGAGGTGCAAACGGTTAAGTGCTTGACTACTAGCCGAAAGGCTGGCAGTTTGAATCCACTAAGAGGTGCCTCAGAAGAAAGCCCTGGCTATCTGCTTCTGAAAGGTCATGACCTTGAACACTCTATGGAGCAATTCTCCTCTGCACACACAGGGTCACCATGAATTGGAACTGACTCAATGGCAACTAACAACAACAACATTTTAGCTCTGAATTTGTCTATTCTTTACATGAATAACCAAAAAAGACCATACATGTATCTTCCAGGCACTACTACTGACAGGCTAGCTGTGGGTGATTCAGAGATGAACACCAGTCTCAGTTCTCAAGGAGCTGATCATCTACTAAGTAAACGCACAAATCAAACTAACAATTACAAGACAGTGTAATAAGCACTACCCAGCAGATCTGTGGCAAGGGCATTTAACTATGCGTGTGGTGAGGCAGAGGGGTATGTCAGAGAAAGTTCTTGAGAAGAACAGGTGAGGTGAGGCAGAGAGAGCTAGAAAGTGGCAGAGAGCTGGCCTATTTAAGTATCTGTAATTAGGTTGGTAAGGAGCCCTGGTGGCACAGTAGCTAAAGTGCTCAGCTGCTAACCTAAAGGTCAGTGGTTCAAACCCACCAGGCACTCCATGGGAGAAAGATGTGGTAGTCTGCTTCTGCAAAGATTATAACCTTGGAAACCCTATGGGGCAATTCTACTCTGTCCTATAAGGTTATTGTAAGTCGGAATCAACTTGATGGCAACGGGTTTTAATTAGGCTGGTGTGGCTGAAATAAGGCGGAAGCACATAAAGACCAGTGGTAGAAAAGGCTGCTATGTAATCTGAATTTTATCCAGAAGACTAAAGGGCAATTACACGTGTATACATATCCGCGCACACAAACACAAATGGATAGATGGCTTCTGAAAATGCGATACTTGCCATTCCATTGCCTCATCAAGGCCAGTGCCTTTGGTTGCTGAAGTTTTGAATATCTGCCATTTCCGGTCCTTCAAGGCAGGTAATCCAAGTGAATTTGCCATCTCTGAGGGAGTCATGGCCTGTTCCATGTCCTGCTTATTTGCAAACACCACTAAAATGGCTTTTCTCAGCTCTTCTTCCTAAATAAAATTGAAGATATTTAATTTTCCCAACCAACTTGCTCCCACTGAGTTCAAAGAGAAATGCCAAAAAAATATTAAAGTATATATTTTCTAATTATTAATGAACTCAATGTTTATTATAAATTAGCTAAAATTATAGAAAAAGTATAAAAAAAGGAAGCACTGCCCATAATCCTACTGCCTAAACATTATCAATGTTATCATTTTGGGTATTTTTACTAGTGCTTTGTTCTGTAGATACTTATAGCTTATTTAATAAATATATTTACATATTAAATTTCAGTTGTACTCCCTGCTTGGAATTTCATTTTTTGTCTGTAAGAGGAATAGGAAGTAATTTGCATAAAAGAAAAAGATATTAAAGGCATGAAAAAAAAAATCCCTGGATTCTTTTAAATTATTCCTCAAATGACAATATACACTGGACGAACAACAAGAGCGAATGTAAATTATTTCCCCACGTATAAAATCTTCTTACCTCCAACATGGCCACCAACTCTGATTTGGAAATGCCAATTCGGTCTCTGTCACAACTGTCTACTACATAAATGACTGCATCTGTGTTTGAATAATAACATCTCCAGTATGGCCTACAGAAAGTTAAAGAAAAGAAGAGTACATAATTACTTGAAGGAGTTACATGCCCAATCTGCCCCACCCCACGTTAGAATCACAGAATGATTCACTGTGGCTGCTGTACATATAGCATCTCTCTCCAACAAGGAGTTGAAAGAATGTTGATAAACATTAAATCACAGATCAAGGAGTTTCAGGATGAGTTCAGACTTTAGGTTGAGAGATTATATGTATAATCTATAAAATCACTAAACGTACAGATAGAAAGGTTATACACAGACCCGTTCATTACATCTTACAAATCTAACCAGGAACCCCTTAAAATAGCTTTTAAATTTTTTAAAATGTATTTTATAGTTGCTCTAAATTAATCACTGAGGTTAGGCATTAAATTGATCACTGAAGACACCAAGAAGTAGCAATGGCTAAAATTTGGAACAGGCTTAAAACCAGCTTCAAGAAATGTAATGAGTTAAAAGAAGCCAGGATGTTTGGGGAATGTATTACTAATCTTTTAAGATGGTACCATAGTAAGCAATGAGTTTTCAAGGCTGTGACCTTTCAGAAGCAGATCACCAGGCCTGTCTTTCAAGGAGCCTCTGGGTAGGTTCGAATGGTCAACCTTTCGATTAGTAGTCAAGCACTCACAGTTGCCGTACCAAGTACAGAAGGCTGGTGGAGGAGACCTAAGTTCCGGAGCACATCTATGTTCACGCTAACCCTAACTGCTGGGCCTACAAGAATCTTTATGAATTCTAAAAGTCTGTCTCCCAGAGAAAAGGGTTCACAAGAACTAAACAAAAGCGCATTTTCAGTTAAAAACTACCGAAGTAATTAAGTCTTGAATTTCTGTGAAAACATTTTTCATTTAAATGATATCTGAAAAACTGGCTTCCTTAAACAGGTTTTAGTTGACGTTCTTAGAAAACAGGAGTTTCAAATTGTATCTTTTTTTTAAATTGTACTTTAGATGAAGATTTATAGAACAAATAGTTTCTCATTAAACAGTTAGTACACATATTGTTTTACGACACTGGTTCACAACCCCACGACATGTCAACACTCTACTTTCTCGACATTGGGTTCCCTATTACTGGCTTTCCTGTCCCCTCCTGCCTTCTAGTCCTTGTCCCTCGGCTGTTGTGCCCCATTAGTCTCGTTTTGTGTTACGGGCTCTAATCTTTGGCTGAAGGGTGAACCTCAGGAGTGACTTCATTACCAAGCTAAAAGAGTGTCTGGGGGCCATACTCTCGGGGTTTCTCCAGTCTCTGTCAGGCCAGTAAGTCTGGTCTTTTTTCATGAGTTAGAATTTTGTTCTACATTTTTCTCCAGCTCTGTCCAGGACCCTCTGTTGTGATCCCTGTCAGAGTAGTCAGTGGTGGTAGCCAGGTACCATCTAGTTGTACTGGACTCAGTCTGGTGGAGGCTGCGGTAACTGTGGTCCATTAGTCCTTTGGACTAATCTTTCCCTTGTATTTTGTTTTCTTCATTCTCCCTTGCTCCCAAAGAGGTGAGACCAGTGGAGTATCTCAGATGGCTATTCACAGGCTTTTAAGACCCCAGATGCTACTCACCAAGGTAGACTGCAGAACATTTTCTTTATAAACTATGTTATGCCAACTGAGCTAGATGTTCCCTGAGACCATGGTCCCCACCACCCTCTGTACCTCATTTTAAACTAGATGACTCCCATTTAAGTTACCAAAGAAGATATATTTTGGTTTAACTATTAACCCTTAAAACAGTCAATAAACATTAAATACCACAAAATAAATAATCTGGGCTTTGTACCATACCTGATACTTGTCTGCCCTCCTAAATCCCAGACTTGAAATTTGAGGTTTTTGTATGTTACTGTCTCAACGTTAAATCCAATGGCTGAAAGAGAAATCAAACCAGTTATATGTGTAAGACTAACATATTCTATCTTCAAAGTATCCACTCCAATTAAATGGCTGCTTTACACACTGTGCTTGTCCTGTGCATGTAAACAACAGCTGAATTGCTGAATCACATTATTGGTTGAGATATTATTATACTTTAAAGACAAGATAGCAAACTGTGCAACATACACACACACCCACCACTACCAAGTAGCAAGATCAGCATGATCTTTAGGTTATACAAAAATTCCCAGCTAGTTCTGGAAATATATAATTCTTTCTTGTTAGTTATGGTCCAGTTTGCCCCAACTCATAGTGACTCCACACACGATGGAACAAAACACTGCCCAGTCCTGCGCCATCCCAAGATCAGGTACGGATGAGACAATGTTCCACTGTGATCTACAGGATTTTCATTGGCTGGTTTTGGGAAGTAGATTGCCAGGCTTTTCTTCCTAGTCCATCTTAGTCTGGAAGCTCTGCTGAAACCGGTTCAGCATCACAGCAAAGGCTAGTCATCACTGACAGACAGGAGGTGGCTGCACATGAGGTGAACTGGCCAAGAATCAAACCTGGGTACCCCAAACGGGAGGTAAGAATTATATTATTGAATCACCTCAATGAAAATCCTATTACGTTAAACTCCCTTCATTATATAGTACTAGCATACAAAAAGTATTCAGAAAGTTACATTTACCAAGTACAGCTGTAGGTGAACTAGAAAAACCTGGAATTTTGGTAGGCAGCAAATAAACAGGGATCAAAACCAAGAAAGACTACATTCTAAACTTCATTGGCTAAAGACATAACAATAGTGGCATACTGCTTTTTGGAAGCTGGGTTCTCTAAGGGTGGCAATCTCACCTACCCTCTGCAAACATCCTCAAGATCTGACTTGGAATTAAAGTCAAAAGCTGGATGGTCAAAAAGGTGTCCCATCCCTCCTCTGTCACCACATGGGTGACGCAGGATACTTACATTTTCACTGAAAGGAAACTAAAGGAATGTGGAGAGGATGCTGGAAAAAATTAGGAGTTGTATATACAAAAGCTACTAATATTTTACAAGCTTAAAAAAAATCAAAGTGAAAATGACTTAAATGTAACAGGACAATTAATTTTTGTTTAAGTGTATATTGGTAAATCATGCTTATTATCACATGTAATAATATCACTTAGCATTAATATAACACTTTATACAGGTTTACAAAGTACTTTTATATTTATTTCCCCTCAAAAGCAATGGATATTCATTTTATCAGTAAAGACACTGGTTCTCAAGGACATTAAGTGATTTAACCAAAGCCAACTTATGAACAGCAAAACCCCACCATGCTGCAGGACCAACCAAACCAAACCAAACCTGTTCCTGTCGAGTTGATTCCAACTCATAGTGACCGTATATGACAGAGAAGAACTGCCCCATAGGGTTTCCAAGGAGCGGCTGGTGAATTCGAACTACCGACCTTTTGGTTAATAGCCCAGCTCTTAAGCACTGTGTCACCAGGGCTCCATGTAGGACAGGGGTCTTAAATTACACAAAACTGCATCTCAGTTTATGAAAACAGTGTTACCAACATCATGCGCATGCTACAAGTCTGCAAACCTTAATAGTTACTTTATTATATGAGTGATTTATCAATTCCAAGTGCGACTTCAGAAATAAATTGGATGGAAACCAGGAAGCTCCTACAATTAGTTTATCATACCAGCACTTACTAGGAATAGTAGTAACGACTTCTCCAACCTGTAATCTGTACAAAATTGTGGTTTTTCCTGCTCCATCCAATCCCAAAATTAAAATTCTCATTTCTCGGGTTCCAAACAGACTGGAAAAAATACTTGAGAAAAAACCACCTAAAAATAAAACAAAAACAAAGGTATATTCAGTATCATTTGTGAAAACAGGTACTCAAAACATGTAATCTTGCTCTTTAGAAGTTATACTAAATTAAATATTTTCCTCAATTCATAGGCACATGTTTTTGTTCACAATTAAATATACTAATCAACATCAAATAAGTAATTATTGATCATTACCATGTCCCAAATACTGGGCCAGGTAGGGTAAGAGGATACAATAAAGAATAAGAGAACATGGTCCTGCCCTACTGGTGCTCATTTTTCAGTCAAGTGATTACAGATACCTTAGCATGATCTCATCACTACCCCTAAAAATCAAAGGGCCATTCAGAATGACAGTGGGGCAATGAGGTCTTTGATATTTGAAGTAATTATTACTGTTATACACCAGTAGTGTCACTATGTTGTTGTTGTTAGGCGCCGTCAAGTTGGTTCCAACTCTAAGTACAACAGAATGAAGTACTGCCAGGTCCTGCGCCGTTCTCATGATCACCGTAGTCACTGTGTCAACCCATCTCATTGGATCTTCCTCTCTTTTGCTGACCCTCTACTTTACCAAGCATGATGTCCTTCTCCAGGGACTGGTCCTTCCTGATAACATGTCCAAAGTACGTAAGAAATCTCACCATCCTCACTTCTAAGGAGCATTCTGGCTGTACTTGCAAAACAGATCTGTTCGTTTTTTGGCAGTCCATGGTATATTCAACATCCTTTGCTAATACCATAACTCAAAGGCATCAATTCTTCTGCAGTCTTCCTTATTCACTGTCCAGCATCACCTGCATATAAAGCGACTGAAAATACCATGGCTTGGGTCAGGCGCACTTTAGTCCTCAAAATGACATCTTTGCTTTTTAACACTTTAAAAATGCCTTTTGCAGCAGATCTGCCCAATGCAATACATCATCTGATTACTTGACTGCTGCCTCTATGAATGCTGATTGTGGATCCAAGTAAAATGAAATCCTTGACAACTTCAATCTTTTCTCCATTTATCATGATACTGCTTATTGGTCCAGTTGTGAAGATTTTTGTTTTCTTTATGTTGAGGTGTAATCCATACTGAAGGCTGTGGTCTTTGATCTTCAACAGTACTTCAAGCCCTCTTTGCTTTCAGCAAGCAAAGCTGTGTCATCTGCGTATTGCAGGTTGTTAATGTGTCTTCCTCCAATCCTAATGCCACATTCTTCTTCATATAGTTCAGGTTCTCATATTATTTGCCCAGCATAGACTGAATAAATATGGTGAAAGGATACAACCCTGAAGCACACCTTTCCTGATTTTAAACCATGCAGCATCTCCTTGTTTTGTTCAAACGACTGTCTCTTGGTCTATGTACAGGTTCCTCATGAGTACTATTGAGTGTTCTGGAATTCCCATTCTTTGCAACGTTATCCATAATTTGTTATGATCCACACAGCCGAATGCCTTTGCATAGTCAATAAAACACAGATAAACATCATCCCAGTATTCTCTGCTTTCATCCAAGATTCATCTGACATCAGCAATGATATCCCTTGTTCCAAGTCCTCGTGTGAACCCAGCTTGAATTTCTGGCAGTTCCCTGTCAATGTACTGCTGCAACCGCTTTTGACTTACCTTCAGCAAAATTTTACTTGCATGGGATATTAATGCTATTGTTTGATAACTGCTGCATTCTGTTGGATCAACTTTCTTTGGAATGGGCACAAATATGGAATTCTTCCAGTCAGTTGGTCAGGTAGCTGTCTTCCAAATTTCTTGGCATAGACAAGTGAGCACCTCCAACACTGCATCTGTTTGTTGAAAGATTCTAATTGGTATTCCATCAATTCCTGGAGCCTTGTTTTTATCAATGCCTTCAGTGCAGCGTGGACTTCTTCCTTTAATACCATTGGTTCTTGATCATATGCTACCTCCTGGTATGGCTGAACACTGACCAATTCTTTCAGCTATAGTGCCGATTCTGTGTATTCCTTCCATCTTCTTTTGATGCTTCTTGCGTTGTTCAACATTCTGCCCACAGAATCCTTCAGTGTTGCAACTTGAGGCTTGAATTTTTTTCTTAGGTTCTTTCAGCTTGAGAAATGCCAGGCATGTTCTTCCTTTTTGGTTTTCTAACTCCAGGTCTTTGCACATGTCATTATTAATACTTCACTTCATCTTCTCAAGCTAGCCTTTGAAATCTTCTATTCAGCTCTTTTAGTTCATTATTTCTTCCTTTCGCTTTAGCTACTCTACATTCAAGAGAAAGTTTCAGAGTCTCTTCTGACGTTCATTTTGGTGTTTTCTTTCCTTCCTGTTTTAATGACCTTTTACTTTCTTCATGTATGATGTCCCTGATGTCATTCAACAACTCATCTGGATTTCGGTCATTAATGTTCAATGCATCAGATTTATTCTCAAGATGGTCTCTAAATTCAGGTAGGATATACTCGAGATAGTATTTTGGATCTCGTGGATTTACTTTTTCTTCAGCTTCAACTTGAACTTGCATATGAGCAATTGATGGCCTGTTCTGCAGCTGGCCCCTGGCCTTATTCTGACTGATGATATTGAGCTTCTCCATCGTCTCTTTCCACAGACTTAATCAATTTAATTCCTGTGTATTCCATCTGGCAAGGATGCATTGATAACTACTGGTGATTAAAATGTGAAAGTTGAAAACAAAGAAGAAGGATCAGTAGTTGGAAAATATGGCCTTGGTGGTAGAAACGACACCAGAGACTGCATGACAGAATTTTGATCAAGTTTCAGAGTCTCTTCTTCAGTGTCACCATAACTATCTCCAATTCCTGAGATTTCTCCATTACGCAATATAACTACCACAAGAAATTAAGACATAGAAGCCCAAAATGCCAACAATTATTCTTCATGGAAAAACTATTTAAAAAAAAAAACTAAAGCGCTGCATCCATTGCATCATAAAATATTTCCTGACATATGCATGATGTTGTGGAAAGTACATTAACAATATAAAAAAAAAAGACAACAGAAGAGATGTCACACAATACATGATTATTTGACAAACAAATGACACAATTAAGCTCTGAATCAGGGAAAATGAACATACCAAGGGCTAGAGAACTCCGCAAGCTTAATAGAAGGGGAGTGACTTGACAAAGCCCTTTCCATCTTTTACAGGTAGAAAAGAGACGAAAAAACAACACTGAAGAGGTTTACGGAAGACAGGAAAGTGGTTGTATTGTTCCTGCCAGAAAGTAAACGCCCCAGGAAATAGTGGAGGGATTTAAACAAGCAAAGACTTTGCACCTTCATCTGGCACCTGGAGGGGTTGGAGAAGAGTTTTCCGATATACTTCCCTCAATTATCAGACTAAAAACTGACGTCAAAATTTCATTCACTGACAGTAATGCCTTCCCCACTTCCTACTTCATCTTACTCTAAAACTACAGGAAAAGCTAAATAGACAAATAACTATAAAACAACATTACAAGTTACACCTCCTACTTGTGTTCTTAAAACTGACGCAGTCCCAGCGCCCCGGGAAAGAATCAAGCTTCCACTATCGGATTCGTTCTCATCTTGCACCCAAGAAACCTCAGCGACCCTGCGACAGACAATTGATAGTCTTCACAAGACCAACTCTGCACAGCAAATTGAGTGGTATGAGGGGCCGAGGGGAGTTCATGGTCAAGGGCAAGGACTCGGGGCCAGTCTCCCAGTCCATAGCGCTCCGCAATCATCACCTCCGTCTGCATGAAGGTAGGAATTAACGAGAACGGAGGCGAACACAAGAGGCCGGGTCCACCCGCCCCCTGAGAAGGTGGCTACTCTCTAGCTTCCCAGGGCGGCCCCTCACCTCCTCCGGATCCCAGCCCTCGCCCAAACCCCTCAAGCGCTACTGGGACCCCTTCTCGGACCCCTTACCCATGATGAACCGCCCGCCCGCCCTCGCCGATCCTCAAAAACAGGCCGCAGCCTCGGTAGCGACTCCTATTCGAGCCTCAGCGCCGCCACAGCTGCTCCCCTCGGCCTCCGATTCAGGCTCCGAGGCGGTTTCCTTGGAAGCCAGCTCAGCCAACAACTTCCACGTCTGACTCCCGGCGGGGGAGGGAACGTGTAGCGCCGCGACTGCGTTCTGGGAACGGCAACCTGAGCGTCAGCGTCGTCACTTTCGATGCGAGTCTCCTGAAGGCTAGTTGTAGATACTGTGGACATGGAAGAGAAAAAAAAACAACAACAAAGACAGAGTCTCTCTTGCTTCTGTCTTCCTGGATAGAATGTGCTTCCTAAACAGGGAAATTCTAATACTTATTTTAAATTCTGACACAAACTTGTGGCGAAACTGCCAATCTAAAATGCGAACCCGGCCTCGCTCGTGTAGCGGCGGCAGGCGGAGGATGTGTGTCCTGGAGCAACCTGCGGTGGCGCACCGGCGTTCCCCATTCCCCGAGAAGAAAGTAGGGTTACGTAATAATAGGAGATCCCCGCGCCACCAATGCGGAGCAGCCTTACACTTGCTAACTGAAGATATATCGCCCTGGCCTGGAAGGCCAGCGTAGCTCTCCACCCTTCTTTCTTACAACGGGCTCTGGCCCCCTGACCACTTTTCTCGGATCAACAGCCGTGCGGGCGGACTGGTCTCCATCTTGAGCCCCTTGAGGGGATTGGTTGAGATAGCGAGGTCTTTACAGCAGAGTGTGTTGGGAGGAGGAGGAAAGCCACATCTGAAGGATGGGAAGAATGAAAGGGGCTGCTTGGGAATTTCCCGTTTATTGTCATCTGTGTAGGCCTAGCGTCCTGGGTTTTGTGGTATTGTTAATGCATAGGTTGCAATGTTCGCTTCTGCATGCTCCTATGATTCTGATTTATTTTCCTTTTCCTTCTTGTTTTCCCATGATTTTATAAAAGTTTAAAAATTAACCGAAGTTCCTCTTTGAGAGGTAGAACAACAAGTGATAAAATCTGAAGGAGACTTGGGGAACATATAGCTCAACTGGCATAACACAGTTTATAAAGACAATGTTCTACATTCTACCTTGGTGAGTGGTGTCTGGGTTCTTAAAAGCCTGTGAGTGGCCATCTACCATACGCCACTGGTCTCATCCCTTTGGGAGCAATGGAGAATGAAGAGAACAGGATACAAGGAAAAGATTAGTCCAAAGGACTAATGGACCCACAGCTACCAAGGCCTCCACCGGACTGAGTCCAGTACGGCTAGATGGTGCCCGGCTACCACCACTGACTTCTCTGACCAGGATCACAACAGAGGGTTCTGGACAGAGCTGGAGAAGGATGTAGAACATAATTCTAACTCACAGAAAAAAGACCAGATTTACTGGCCTAAAGGAGACTGGAGAAACCCCGAGAGTATGGCCCCCAGACACCCTTTTAGCTCAGTGGTGAAGTTATCTCTGAGGTTCACTGTTCAGCCTGGGAGTGGACAGCCCTGTAAAACCAAATGGGACTAATGAGGTACAGTAGTCCAGTGACAAGGGCCAGAAGGCAGAAGGGGACAAGGAAGCTGGTGATAGGGAACCCAAGGTTAAGTAAGGATATTGTTGATGTGTTGTGAGATTGTTAACCATTGTCATAGGGCAACATGTGTAGTAACTGTTAAATGAGAAACTATTTTGTTCTGTAAGCCTTCATCTTAAGTGAGGATAGCAGCACTATTGGAAGAGCGTAGTCAATGTCACTGAACTGTGCATGTAGAAATTTTTGAAATGGTGTATCTTTGGCTATGTGTATTTTCACCAAAAAAAAAAGCTTGAGAAGTTAGAGGGTTGACATGTTGTGGGGTTGTTAACCAATGTCATAAAACAATATGTGTATTACTGTTTCATGAGAAACTATTGGTTCTGTAAGCCTTCACCTGAAGTACAATTAAAAAAAAAAAAATCTGAAGGCGAGACAACTGAACAAACGATCTTCAAGAATACCCGCAGAAGGTCAGCATGTCTGGAACGAGGTCATTGTGCCCACCTCAAAGGGGAACTAAACATTCCACAGTTTCTTCAGACCCTGACCGTGTCTCGATAAAACCCTCTGATCAGCCTCCAGGGGGGGAGGCAGATTTTGGAGGAGCTAATCCCCCTCTGTCTTGTATATTGATACACAAGAAAACCCTCTTGCTGCTCACCTCACCCCTGTTTTAGTATTGGCTTTTGCAGCAAGCGGCTCAGACCTGTGTTTTACTGTGACAAGAAGTGATTCTCCTAGGCTCTATTTTTATAAAGTTGAGGACACATGTCTTAAAAATTGAAAACGATACCCAGCAAAGTAAGCTTTCTGTCCCTACACCGCAATCCCCCAGTTACCCCTAGAAGTAACCAGTTACCACTTCCTTTGATCTTCTTTTAGATCTTCCACGTACGATCTTTGCATATTTGGTTTTTATTTTTAATAGAGATCTTCGTCCATTCAACAGAGTATGGACTGCCTGTTTTGTTTTTGACCAAAATTTGCAAACTTAGCTGCCTAGGCGCTGAACTTTTGCATATCCAATCCCCTACTCACCACTCAAGTAATAGGTTCACAGATAGTTTTCTTGCAAGGAAAAGTTTGGTTTGTTTTTTGTTGTTATTGTTGTTTTTGTTTTGTTATTTGAGAAGGGTAGAATGATGCTACCTAAACACCTGGACCTTTAACGGGTCTTTTTAAGGGTGCCGTATGTAAGCATCGAAGGAACCCTGGTGGTACAGTGTTTAAGCATTTGGCTGCTAACCTAAGAGTGGGGCAGTTCTATGAGTCGGAATTGACTCTATGGCAAGGTTGGTTTGTTTCTTTTCTTTTTTACTTTTATTGTGCTTTAGGTGAAAGTTTACAGCACAAATTAATTTCTCCTTCAAAAATTTATACACAAGTTGTTTTGTGACATTTGTTGCAATCCCTGCAATGTGTCAGCACTCTCCCTCTTTCCAGCCCAGGTTTTCCATGTCCATTTGTCCAGTTATCCTGTCCCTTCCTGCCTTCTCATCTTTTGAGTGGGTATTGCCCATTTGGTCTTGTACACTTGGTTGAACTAAGAAGCACGTTCCTCACATGTGTTACTGTTGTTTTATAGGCCTGTCTAATCTTTGACTGAGAGGTAGACTTTGGGAGTGGCTTCAGTTCTGAGTCAGCAGGGTTTCCGGGGGCTATAGTCTTCAGGGTTCTTCCAGTCTCTGTCAGACCACTAAGTCTGGTCTTTTTTGTGAATTTGAATTTTGTTCTATATTTTTCTTCTGCTCTGTCCGGGACCCTCTACTATGATCCCTGTCAGAGCTGTCGATGGTGGTAGCTGGGCACCGTCTAGTTCTTCTGGGCTCAGGCTGGAGGCTGTGGTTCAGTGCTTTTTTTGTTCTGTTTTGTTTTTTATGTTGTCCAGCTGTTGGACCTCAGCATGCTTATGATTGCAGACCTTTCTCACATATTCTTCATCCACCCCCAATCCTTCTCTTTGCCAAGATCATTTGCATTTGACATATCTTGGCCATTGTTACTTCAAACTTATGTCCACATTAGATTTATGTTTTGAGTACAATGCACTTAAGCCAGTTGAACCAGGTGCCATTGAGTCACTTTTGAATCATGGTGACCCATGTGTGTCAGAGTAGAACTATGCTCCATAGGATTTTCAGTGGCTGACTTTTCAAAAGTAGATCCTCTGGCTTTTTTGACTGGATTCCAACTTTTTGGTTAGCAGCCTAACGTGAGGCCAAACTCATCTTCAAGGAAAACCAAAAAAACCAAACCCACTGCTGTCAAGACAATTTCAACTCACAGCAACCCTATAGGACACAGGAGAACTTCCCCCTAGGATTTCCAAGGCTGTAAATCTTTAGAGAAGCAGACTGCCACATCTTTCTTCCATGGAGCAGCTGGTGGGTTAAAACCACCGACCTTTTGATTAGCAACCGAAGACTTTAACCACTGTGCCACCAGGGCTCCATCTTCAAGGAAGGTATCATGTTTGAAGAGAAGCCACCAGATGGTGCTGTTGTTTCAAGCCATAATTCTCAATAGACTCAGATCAATGGGTCCAGTTTAGTAAAAGGTCAGTGGATAATTTGATCCTTTTCAGGTCGTGTGGTCCAATAATAATTGGTTAAATTTTAAAATGTGAATAGTTCAATGCACTTAAAGTAAAGCAATTCCAAAACTCCTTTGGCTATAAAGTCACAATAATAGCAAATACGTTCAGAATTTTAAAGCTAGATGGGACGTCAGACACAACTGCAGCCCTCTCATTTACAGATGAAGAAGCAGAAACAAGCTAAGTAATAAAGCCAGGACAACAACTCTCATCGTTTGACTTCCAGACCTGGAGTAACTAGATTGCGATGCCTTCTATAACTCAGCCATGATCTGTTTATTTGAGAAACTGATTTTGAAGTACATAACTATGCCTCAAGAATTTGCTATAGCTTCCAAAGTTAGGAACTTAACATTTCTGTGTGTTCCCATTGCCTAGTGGAAGTTTCTAACGTTAGTATTTGTCCCCTTGAAGTGGATGTGGCTGGCAATAAGTACAGTATTAATGGCTCCTCATAAACTATGGCTTGTTATATGGTCCTCTTTGTTCCTGAGAGCTGAAGGACTGGATCTCAGGTTCTTATTCAATAGGGAAGAAGTAACACAAGCCACAGTAGCCCAAGGTCTGTGGTGTCAGATCTTTTATAGAGATTTTCCTCTTTACCAACCTGACACCCCCTTTCACCTTCCTTCTTTTTCTGAGGGCAAAGCTGATTTTTCTGTCAAGGTTAGACAGAAGTGGGAGTTTCATTGCTTTACTTCACGCATCTTCTGGGTGGACACAAACTCCCATCTTTCAGTTAGCAGCCAAGCATATCAACTGTTTGCCCTTGAGTTGGTTCCCACCCATAGTGACCCTATGTACAACAAAATGAAACACTGCCTGGTCCTGCACCATCCTCACAGTCATTGCTATGCTTGCGCTCATTGTTGCAGCCCTTGTGTCAGTCCATCTCATTGAGGGTCTCTACCAAGCATTGGCCCAGTGATTGATCCCTCCTGATGACACATCCAAAGTAAGTGAGACAAAATCTTGCATCCTCACTTCTAAGGAGCATTCTGGCTGTACTCCAAGGCAGATTTGTTCATTCTTTTGGCAGTCCACATTATATTCAACACCACAATTTGAATGCATCACTTCTTCTTTTATCTGTAATAATGCCTTTTTTTTTTTTTTGCCCGAAAAACTACCTTTTCTAATATTAATATAGCTATACCATCTTTCTCTGGGTTATTGTTTTCCTGGTTCTGTCCTTTTACTTTTCACTTTTCTTTATCCCTACATTTTTGATGTCTCTTGTAAACAGCATATAGTTAAGTTTTTAGAATCCAGTCTGACACCATATTATAATCAGTGAATTTACTCCATTTATTTTTAATGTATATTTATTATTGGTATTGTGGTTAGGTCCTCTTATGTGCTACAGATCCAGAAGGAAGTATT